CTCTGGGTCTGGGTGCTGTCCCTCAGCTCTTCAGCTCAAGGCTAGCGCTCTACCACTTGAGCCACAGCACCACTTCTGGCTTTTTTCTTTTTGCTAATGTGGTGCTGCGGAATCGAACCCAGGGCCTCATGCATGCAAGGCAAGCACTCTACCACTGAGCCACCTTCCCAGCCCCAAATGTCATGTTTTTCTATGCTATGATCCAATGATACCACTCTTGGGTATCTATCCATAATATTAGTAAAGGCACTTGCACATCCATGTTCATTGCTTTCACAAGAGTCAAGATAATAGAAATAGTTCAGATGCCCTACAATGGACAAATGGAGAAAATGTGGTACATATATATACAATGGAATTGTACTCAGTCATCTCATTTGCAGAGAAATGGACGGACTTGGAAAATATTATGGTAAATGAAGTAAGTCAGGTTCAAGGAGACAAAGGATGCATGTTTTCTCTCAAATGTGGGAGTCAGTCCTAAGTTATAAACATATGAAAATACATTTAGGGTTATAAGCATGTATGTGAAGAACATGAGCTGCAGAGAAACTGGTAAGGCAGGGAATATTTTAGCAGGGATTTTGAGACCTAAATGCAATGGAAAATCAGAGCCCTCACTATAAATAAAATTGTTACTTTTTGGTTTTGCTTTGCTTTTTAACCACCATCACTACCACTAATATGAATGAGGAAAGAGAAAAGAACAAAGATACAGTGGAATAAATGAGTAACTCCGCCCCAAGTCAAGCAAAATAATGGAATTCAGTTAATCAAACTGTGATCCTTCTACCAAAGGAAATGCTCTTTTGGTCACAGAAAGTCTCCTAGCAACAGACACATTTCACAAGCACTCTCTGGAAAGCCTGACTCCAAGTCAAACCAACAGTTCCCCGTTCTACATACAGAAGCTGAACAATGCTGAGCAAATCACTCACAGGAATTTCAGCTCCCAACTGGGGAATGGACACATACTCCCTAGCTTCAAACTACATTCTCTCCTTGCTTCTCAATCCACTGCACTTTAGCTCTTGCCCTAGCTGATCACCAACACTGTCCTTGCTGAAAAGCCTATGAATGAATCTCCATCACCTCACCTAGCTGATCCATCACTCCATCCGTGATAGCCTCACCTAACTGATCATTCCATCTCTGTGGATCATCACCTCATCCAGTTAATCACCTCACTGATCACTCTATCAGTGATTGTCTCTCCCTGCCTGTAATCACCTCACCAGGAGACTTTCTGCCCCCCACCTCATGACTTCCACTGCGCTTTCCCAACTGGCTCCTGTCTTCCCAACTGCTGTTCCTTTACCTCTGCCCAGGTATTCTTCTTTTGCCTCCTCT